TATATATGTATGTATGTATGTGTATATATATGTATGTATGTATGTGTGTGTGTATATATGTGTGTGTATATATATGTGTGTATATATATGTGTGTATATATATGTGTGTATATATATGTGTATATGTGTATATATGTATATGTGTAGATATGTATATGTGTATATATGTATATATTTATGTATGTATATATGTATTTATATATATGTATGTATATGTATGTATATATATATATATATATGTTTGTATATGTGTGTATATGTATATATATGTATATATGTGTATATATGTGTATATATGTATATATGTGTATATATGTGTATATGTGTATATATGTGTACATATAGTGCGAGTTAGATATTATTGTAATGTTTCGGACCTTTGCCCGAGGAGATTTTCTCAATCTGGACCTTTTGGAATTTTAGTTGAAGACCCCTGCCTTAAGAATGGACACAGGACTCGTATGGTTTTTATTATTTATGCTAATTAACAATGAGACGGTAGCTGAGGAAGACCTTCAGATGTGGTCGAAAGCTGCTCGGAAAGTAAACGTTGAATTTATAATATTTTGCATGAAATCAAGTTTATTTCATGTTTCATCAGAGAACAGAAGATTACAATTCAATAAAGATGTTCAGTGTTTCCTGCAGCGTCACAGTGCGTGTTTGGCGGCGTGGACGCCCTCGATGACGTTGTACCGTCTGTCGGCGTGCGGTGGGGCCGCGGTGGTCGGGGCCAGGTGCACGGTGAGCAGAGCGTGGCGACCGCCGACGTCCTGGTCGCCGACCGTCATGCCGTCCTGGCGCTGACGCAGCAGGAGCCTCAGCTGCCGGTTGTCTCGGTTCAGATCGTCTGTCCGTTTCCTCAGAGCTTCTGTCTGGAGGACAGACGTGTTGATCTTCCCCATCAGCTGCTGTAACGCTGACATCTCCTGCAGGAACACAGGTCAGTGAAGGCAACACCTTAGTCTCCTCACTTTGTCCTCTTACACCTGAAATGTCTTCTTCTCGTACGTCCTGTCTTCGTCTCGTACGTCCTGTCTTCGTCTCTCACGTCCTGTCTTCGTCTCTCACGTCCTGTCTTCGTCTCCTACGTCCTGTCAGTGGAGGACAAAGGAAGAAGTGGACATGTCCTACCTTGTCTGGTCCGTCTGTCTCGGGTCCAGTTGTCTCCTGTCTCTCGTCCTCTTGGGGGACTACCAACAGGACGTCCTTCAGCTGTCTCTCCAGCTTACGACACATCTCAGCGACTCTTAAGACTTTGGGACCCTGAAGCAGCACAGAGCGAGGGGACGAATGAGCACCAGACTCCGTGGACAAACAGGAAGTGGGACGGACGCGCCTCACCTTGGCGATGGCGGCCTTCAGTTTCCTGGCGGCGGCGTCGCTCTGGACCGTGAGCTCCGTGAGCCGCTTCCTCGCCACCGCCCGACCCCGAGTCAGCTGATCCTGGAGCGAGCAATTCCTCATGATCGCCGCTTTCCTCTCGTCCTTCAGATCCTGTTCCACCGACTGGTTTTCTGTCTCTCTTTTGTTCAGCTTGTCCCTCAGGTGGACCACGGTCTCCTGAGAGAGGAGGGTAGTCTCTTTGGTTTGATTGGTCACATGAAGGCAGAACAACACATCAGTAGATGTAGCTAACATGTTAGCAACCAGCTGCTAATCTCATCAGGAGTCTTTGTGTCTCTGTTTTTGGTCTCCACCATCTCCTGAGACAAATATCTGTCTCTTTAGCTGCTAAATGCTCCACTATGTCCACTAGCTGGTCTCTGACTCTGTCTACTGTTCGATGATGAGCAGGTAGAGGACAGTGAGTTTACCAGAGCTTTTATTCTGAAAACAGCTGAGACTGAACCAGACAGGAAGTGTGACAAAAAAACAACTCGGAGCTAAAAGAGGCTAAAAAGCTCCGTCGAGCTGCAGAGAGGACGTCAGTCAGAGACGAACCTCAATCATGTGATTAGTATAAGATACCAGACATCGATTATAATGACTAGATATTACATCTAGAGCCTCATGATCTGGGAGAACAGATTGAAGCACATCTCATAGAAGACGGAACACTAAATAATTAAATAAGTAAATGTACCAAAAATAATATGAAGATTGTTTCAGCTCTGCTCTCTTTACTGAAGAACACGTCAGACGTGGAAACATCTTAATCCAAAGAATGAGGTCAAAACAAATGCAGGAATAAATACATTTAAACATTAATAAACAGGTAAATATATAAAGAAGCTAAAACGTATGTCCCATTTTATCCTTTGATTAATTCCTAGTTATTTTTAATAAATGTTGTGTTCATGTATTGATCAGCTCACATATTCATCTTTAGTTTGAACCTTCATGCTTCTTTTGATTTGTTTGTTCTGAATTTTGAATTCATGAGAAAGTTCAAAGTTGACTCGAGTGGACGTGAACGTGAATCTCAACTTAATTTAAAGATTAGTTTCACTTTGTGTCGGTCATCTTTTTGCACTGACCTTCATCTTCTTCACCTTCTTCACCTCCTTGTCGTTCATGTGGATCAGCTGCTGTTGTTCCACCAGCAGGTCTTTGAGCTTCTGCTCTTCGGTCTGGTGGACAGAGGTTCAGGGTTCAACTGCTACAATAGAGCTCAATAGACTAACCTTCTGTTTCTACTGTGACATCTGAAGAACTTTACTCCAGCTTGTTTCTAGGAGGCTTTTATTGTGAAACTCTTTGACACAGAAACAGGAAGCTGTTCCTGTTTTTAAATCTAAGCTTCCAGCTGATTTCTTCTTCTTCTTCTGTTCAGAGGATCTTTGTCTCTTTGAACAGAGTTTATTTCTCCGTCTACTAAACTCCATAAATGTGTTTGGGTGGATCCACACGACTACTCTAAGTGTGTAAACGCTACCGGCCTCTTCTTATCGATGCTTCATTCAGTTTCTGCACAAGTGTCGTGAAGTTCACACAGAAACTTAAAGCAACAAACGCATGAAAGCATGAAAGCTCTCCAGTCTCATCTGGGAAACAAAAAGTCTTCATGAGAATGTTTTAGAATCAGACCGACCTTCAGCTCCTTCGTCTTCTTCACCTTCTTCACCTCCCTGTCCAAGTCTTTGAGCTTCTGTTCTTCAGTGTCGCAGATCTGCCGGAAATCCTGGTCCCACAAAGAGACTGGAATCAGGACATTTACACTCCTGGTGTTGCTGCTCTTCTTCTCTCCTCCAATAAGAACTCTTCTAACAGAGAAACAGCTTCATTCACATTCAGACATGTGAAACAGTTTGTCACCAGACAGAATCCTGTAGAACCCACTAAAAGAGGAGAGAGAGGAACAGATGGAGAGAGAGAGAGGAACAGATGGAGGAGAGAGAGGGAGAGGAACAGGAGGAGAGAGAGAGAGGAAGAGATGGAGGAGAGAGAGAGAGGAACAGATGGAGGAGAGAGAGAGAGAGAGAGGAACAGATGGAGGAGAGAGAGAGAGAGAGGGGAACAGATGGAGGAGAGAGAGAGAGAGAGGGGAACAGATGGAGGAGAGAGAGAGAGAGGAACAGATGGAGGAGAGAGAGAGAGAGAGAAACAGATGGAGGAGAGAGAGGAGCCCAATGTACGTGAACATGTGATAGAGGCTGAGATTGTCTTCTGTGTAAAGTCAGTGAAGGAGACGACGTGGACTCTTGATACCTTGTCATCAGAGTTCTGGTTGTTGATGGAGTTCAGGTACAGCTGGTAGATCTCCTCCATCGCTGCTCTGTGCTGCTGCTCCAACGAGAAGGAGGTGTCCCCCACATCACCTCGACACTGCAGCGAGTGAGACGACACCCGCTCCCTGAAAGAGGAGCGTTTGGGAGGAGGAGGAGGAGGAGGAGGAGGAGGAGGAGGACGACGACTACTACTACTACTACTCACCTCTCGGAGATGAACCTGGAGCTCAGCTGCTGCAGGACTGTCTCCCACTGCTGCTGCACCAACGTCACCCTCTGGTGCTGCCGAGCACACAGACGCTCCACCTGATGCATGTGGACACGCCTCACCTGAGCCCACTGAAGCTCCGCCCCCTGCAGGTCATGCTGCAGAGTCTGAAACAGCAGAATGGGAGACTGAGGAGGAGCAGCAGAGGGAGGAGGAGCAGCAGGAGGAGCAGCAGCAGGTCGGCTCACCTTGACGACGTTGTCCAGGACGTCCCGCTGCCTCTCAAAGGTCTGGCTCAGCACCTCCACGTTTCCTCGCAGCTCTCCTGCTCGGCTCTGACGGAGGATGGACCTCCAGCCTTCGTTCAGCTTCAGCAGGTTCACCTCCGTGTTCCTCTCCTCCTTCTGCAGCTTGTCCTGCTCCCACAGAGAGGAGGAGCCAGTGGCGTCTTATTTCAAGATATGCAACTTATACTTTTATTTTGAAAGGTAATAAGAATATGAACGAGAGACCTCCAGGAACAGAGTGAGGCTCTCCTCCTCCTTCATGGCCTTCTCCTCCTCAGCCTGAGCTCTCTGCTGCTGGAGCATCAGCCTCTCCTCCTCCGTCTTTCCTCCACCTTTCTTGGGTGCCATCGCTCCTCTTTTCTCAGTTGATAACTGGAGGTGTGAATCAGCTGAGGTGACGTCACCTTGTTTAAACACAGCAGCGAGTTTTGTCTCGTGAGAGGAAGTAGCTCATCTAGCGCGTGATACCGTCATAAATAACGCGAACCTCCCGGTGAGAAGTGACAGAATAACTTACCGTATGCCGGACTGCTTTGAGCCGGACTACTTTGTGTCTCTTTCAGGCTGCAGCGGTCGGCGGCGTTTGTTTTGTGTTCCGTCTCCATGGCAACAGCTGCGGAGACGATCCGCCATGTTGGATCAAACCAACTGAAAGGTGAGAAAAGACACAATTAATATAGAATCAACAGAAAACCAAACGTTACTTTATTTAAAGTGGATATGAACCAGAACATAAAAGACTTGATTATTAATATGTTTATTGATGTTTTCCTCTAGATATTTCGTTTATTAAATGTAAAAAGCTTCCAACACAAAATCCCGTCAGCCCGTTTTTATGTCATAACCAGCAGCGGCTGGTCAATAGAGGGCCCCACCTTCAGCCACAACAAATAAAATAATAATAATAATAAGCTATACAAATTGTCAATATTTGTGGTTTTGAAATATGGAATCACCAGTAATATGTGTAAAATATGATATCTGCGGTAAATGTATGCTCTTCCTGCACGTACTCTCCGCGCGTGCACGTCTCAGCAGCTCTGGGCGCTGGAGAAACTGCCCAAAAGAGGCGGGGCTATGAAGCAGTTTAGCCAATTGCTGGTTAAAGATATAATAATAATAATAATAATTATATATATATATATATATGTTTATTCTCTCCAGCTCTCTCTGACTTTAATTGTATTCATAATAAAGTTATTGAGGGAAATATCAGATCATGAAAACACAAATCTTTCTAATAAATGTAGAAAGTTGTTTGTGGTCCTTTCGTTGTTCAGACTACAATGAACATTTATTTAAACCAGATCAAATATAAACTAGAGTTTATTCTGATCTGTCTTCACTGTTTACATGTTGAACACAATCTGATCAGTCCGATCGGCTGCAGCGTCCAATCACATGACAGATGAACAGTGAGGGGGCGTGTCGGCCGTTAAAAGACTTCCTGGAAGTCTGTTCTCGTGGGTCCTCGCTCATGGCTCCTCCCTCCTCGATCCTCAGAGCAGAAATAAGAGCTTTGGGACGGCCGTCAATATGGCAGCGCAGAAAGCTGCTCTTCTTGCGGGCGGAGTAGCAGTTCTGGGATTCGTTGGTCTTGCATATAAATACCTGCGAAAGACAGAACAACTTGTTCGCGTGGGAGTTGTGTCGAAGCTCCTCATTCACCCTCTGAAGTCTGGCAAAGCTGTGTCTGTGACTCTGGCAGAATGCCAACAGAAGGGTCTGAAGTTGGGAGATCTGCAGGATCGGTGAGTGATCAGGAGGTTTGCAAAACGTTTAAGTTTGGTGGAAAGTTTCGGACATTCACTCAAGTCTAAGACTTCTGAGGTCGGTGAAGCAAACTGTCCAAAGAAAGAAGGAAGGAGAACAATCTGTTCTACTGTTTACTACATGTGATCAACTTGTAAAATCATGACTGATTATTAAATATTGGAGGTTCTGAAGTGTTTGCAGGAGTTGTGGCTGGTTATAAAATAGTCTAAATTATCGATAGAATCCAGTAAACCAAGTAGAGAAATCTAGAAATCTAAATATACTGTATAATAGAAAAACATTAGGAATACATTCTATAATAATATATACAGTATATCAGAATTAAATCCGATAGATTACCTTTGTTTGTCTGTCTGTTTGTTTGTTTCGTAAGGGAAACACATCGACCACCACTTCCATATCTTACCAGCTTCACTGGTGATAATCTGGAAATCACCCATTTTTAATTCAAGCTGTCCAAACATTGATAAGATGAGAAGTAAAACACAGGATTAAATGAACACCTGTAAACATCACTGGTGCACTCTCTTTTGCAGGAACATGTTTATTGTATGATAATAATGAAAGTGCATGTAGATCTGGGGTTTACGGATGTGACGTCCTCTTCCTGTAATTTTTCTTTGAAAACCAGGGATGCCAAATGGTGCAGTTGGGGGGAGATCCACGGCTCTCGTTTGTCTTGCTTGCAGACACTGGCTGGTGGTGACGGAGGACGGCCACATGGTGACGGGCCGACAGCAGCCTCGTCTGGTGCTGGTGTCGCTGCACTGTGAGGGAGGTCAGGTCTGTCTGAACGGCCCAAACATGGAGGAGCTGAGGTTCCCCATCAAGCAGTCCGAAAACGCCGTCATCGACTGCAGGTTTCACATCAGGGTTTAGTTTTTAGCAACTGAGAGAGGGTCATAATAGATACTTAAGAAGTCGTTGGTGACTCTTGTTTTAAGTTCTAGAATAGGTTTACAGTCCTAATATTATCTACATTGTTCTAGCTCTATTGTCAGACGGGTATGAATGCGTCTTGTTGTTTTTGTGCTGCAGAGTGTTCGGAGTCGGGATCCAGGGACGGGATTGCGGCGATGAATCATCTCGCTGGCTCACTGGTTATCTGGGGGAGGAGTCGACCTTTCGCCTGGTGCACCATGAGCCCCAGATGACGGGCAGGAGGCCGGAGGAGAGCAGCACTCTTCCCCAAAAGCTTGAGGTAAACAGCAGCAGGCCTTTATGAAGTCTCACTACATGTCTCACCTTTATGTCAGTGTCACCATGAAGTCTCACCTTTATGTCAGCGTCACCATGAAGTCTCACTACATGTCTC